CTAGTACAGTATTTTGACACTGCACCACCTCCAGATGTGCTTGGTACAGTATTTTGACAGTGCCCCACCTCCGGATGTGCTTGGTACAGTATTTTGACACTGCACCACCTCCAGATGTGTCTGGTACAGTATTTTGACACTGCACCACCTCCAGATGTGTCTGGTACAGTATTTTGACACTGCACCACCTTCAGATGTGTCTAGTCCAGTATTTTGACACTGCACCACCTTCAGATGTGCTTGGTACAGTATTTTGACACTGCACCACCTCCAGATGTGTCTAGTACAGTATTTTGACACTGCACCACCTTCAGATGTGTCTAGTACAGTATTTTGACACTGCACCACCTTCAGATGTGTCTGGTACAGTATTTTGACACTGCACCACCTCCAGATGTGCTTGGTACAGTATTTTGATACTGCACCACCTCCAGATGTGTCTAGTACAGTATTTTGACACTGCACCATCTCCAGAAGTGTATAGTACAGTATTTTGACACTGCACCACTTACAGATGTGTCTAGTACAGTATTTTGACACTGCACCACCTCCAGATGTGCTTGGTACAGTATTTTGACACTGCACCACCTCCAGATGTGCTAGTACAGTATTTTGACACTGCACCACCTCCAGATGTGTCTAGTACAGTATTTTGACACTGCACCACCTTCAGATGTGTCTAGTACAGTATTTTGACCTCCAGATGTGTCTGGTACAGTATTTTGACACTGCACCACCTCCAGATGTGCTTGGTACAGTATTTTGATACTGCACCACCTCCAGATGTGTCTAGTACAGTATTTTGACACTGCACCACCTCCAGATGTGCTTGGTACAGTATTTTGACAGTGCCCCACCTCCAGATGTGCTTGGTACAGTATTTTGACACTGCACCACCTCCAGATGTGTCTGGTACAGTATTTTGACACTGCACCACCTCCAGATGTGTCTGGTACAGTATTTTGACACTGCACCACCTTCAGATGTGTCTAGTCCAGTATTTTGACACTGCACCACCTTCAGATGTGCTTGGTACAGTATTTTGACACTGCACCACCTCCAGATGTGTCTAGTACAGTATTTTGACACTGCACCACCTTCAGATGTGTCTAGTACAGTATTTTGACACTGCACCACCTTCAGATGTGTCTGGTACAGTATTTTGACACTGCACCACCTCCAGATGTGCTTGTTACAGTATTTTGATACTGCACCACCTCCAGATGTGTCTAGTACAGTATTTTGACACTGCACCATCTCCAGAAGTGTATAGTACAGTATTTTGACACTGCACCACTTACAGATGTGTCTAGTACAGTATTTTGACACTGCACCACCTCCAGATGTGCTTGGTACAGTATTTTGACAGTGCCCCACCTCCAGATGTGCTTGGTACAGTATTTTGACACTGCACCACCTCCAGATGTGTCTGGTACAGTATTTTGACACTGCACCACCTCCAGATGTGTCTGGTACAGTATTTTGACACTGCACCACCTTCAGATGTGTCTAGTCCAGTATTTTGACACTGCACCACCTTCAGATGTGCTTGGTACAGTATTTTGACACTGCACCACCTCCAGATGTGTCTAGTACAGTATTTTGACACTGCACCACCTTCAGATGTGTCTAGTACAGTATTTTGACACTGCACCACCTTCAGATGTGTCTAGTACAGTATTTTGACACTGCACCACCTCCAGATGTGTCTGGTACAGTATTTTGACACTGCACCACCTCCAGATGTGCTTGGTACAGTATTTTGATACTGCACCACCTCCAGATGTGTCTAGTACAGTATTTTGACACTGCACCATCTCCAGAAGTGTATAGTACAGTATATTGACCACTGCACCACTGCACCCACCTCCAGATGTGTGTCTAGTACCATTATGTGCTTTGACACAGTATTTTGACACTGCACCACCTCCAGATGTGTCTAGGTACAGTATTTTGACACTGCACCCTCCAGATGTGTCTAGTACAGATTTTGACACTGCACCACCTCCAGATGTGCTTAGTACAGTATTTTGACACTGCACCACCTCCAGATGTGCTTGGTACAGTATTTTGACACTGCACCACCTCCAGATGTGTCTAGTACAGTATTTTGACACTGCACCACCTTCAGATGTGTCTAGTACAGTATTTTGACACTGCACCACCTTCAGATGTGTCTAGTACAGTATTTTGACACTGCACCACCTCCAGATGTGTCTGGTACAGTATTTTGACACTGCACCACCTCCATATGTGTCTGGTACAGTATTTTGACACTGCACCACCTCCAGATGTGCTTGGTACAGTATTTTGACACTGCACCATCTCCAGAAGTGTATAGTACAGTATTTTGACACTGCACCACTTACAGATGTGTCTAGTACAGTATTTTGACACTGCACCACCTCCAGATGTGCTTGGTACAGTATTTTGACAGTGCCCCACCTCCAGATGTGCTTGGTACAGTATTTTGACACTGCACCACCTCCAGATGTGTCTGGTACAGTATTTTGACACTGCACCACCTCCAGATGTGTCTGGTACAGTATTTTGACACTGCACCACCTTCAGATGTGTCTAGTCCAGTATTTTGACACTGCACCACCTTCAGATGTGCTTGGTACAGTATTTTGACACTGCACCACCTCCAGATGTGTCTAGTACAGTATTTTGACACTGCACCACCTTCAGATGTGTCTAGTACAGTATTTTGACACTGCACCACCTTCAGATGTGTCTAGTACAGTATTTTGACACTGCACCACCTCCAGATGTGTCTGGTACAGTATTTTGACACTGCACCACCTCCAGATGTGCTTGGTACAGTATTTTGATACTGCACCACCTCCAGATGTGTCTAGTACAGTATTTTGACACTGCACCATCTCCAGAAGTGTATAGTACAGTATTTTGACACTGCACCACCTCCAGATGTGCTTGGTACAGTATTTTGACACTGCACCACCTCCAGATGTGCTTGGTACAGTATTTTGACACTGCACCACCTCCAGATGTGCTTGGTACAGTATTTTGACACTGCACCACCTCCAGATGTGTCTAGTACAGTATTTTGACACTGCACCACCTTCAGATGTGTCTAGTACAGTATTTTGACACTGCACCACCTTCAGATGTGTCTAGTACAGTATTTTGACACTGCACCACCTCCAGATGTGTCTAGTACAGTATTTTGACACTGCACCACCTTCAGATGTGCCGGATATTGACATTCTTTGAAGTCAGCAAAGGAAAAAAAGGGGGTGGAGTGGATTGGAACTGTTCATCACACCCCATATAGCTGAGAGTGTGGTTTCCAAACATTAGGCACCTTCCACTGTATGTCTTCTACCTCTTTGTGTGTTACTTCTCTTCCACTTCATGACTTCTGCCTCCATATTGTATGGGACCTCTCTTCCACTGTATGTCTTCTACCTTTATGTTATGTGGGACCTCTCATTCACTGTATGTCTTTTACCTTTATGTTGTATGGGACCTCTTCCACTGTATGTCTTTTACCTTAATGTTGTGTGGGACCTCTCTTCCACTGTCTGTCTTTTACCTTTATGTTCTGTGTTACCTCTCTTCCACTTTATGTCTTCTACCTTTATGTTGTGTGGGACCTCTCTTCCACTGTATGTCTTCTACCTTCATGTTGTGTGGAACCTCTCTTCCACTGTATGTCTTCTACCTTCATGTTATGTGAGACTTCAGTGTTGTGTGGAACCTCTCTTCCACTGGATGTCTTCTACCTTCATGTTGTGTGGGACCTCTTTCCACTGTATGTCTTCTACCTTCATGTTGTGTGGAACCTCTCTTCCACTGTATGTCTTCTACCTTCATGTTATGTGAGACTTCAGTGTTGTGTGGAACCTCTCTTCCACTGGATGTCTTCTACCTTCATGTTGTGTGGGACCTCTCTTCCACTGTATGTCTTCTACCTTCATGTTGTGTGGGATCTGTCTTCCACTGTATGTCTTCTACCTTCATGTTGTGTGGAACCTCTCTTTCACTGTATGTCTTCTACCTTCATGTTGTGTGGAACCTCTCTTTCACTGTATGTCTTATACCTTCTTGTTATGTGAGACTTCTCTTCCACTGTATGTCTAATGTCTTTCCTGATGTGTTGTTGTATAACTTAGTGACTAAATGTCTAATGTCTTTCCTGATGTGTTATATAACTTGGTGACTAAATTTCTAATGTCATTCCTGATGCTCTTCCTGGTGTGTAGTTGTATAACTTGGTGACTAAATATCTAATGTCTTTCCTGACGAGTTGTTGTATAACTTAGTGACTAAATGTCTAATGTCTTTCCTGGTGTGTTGTATAACTTAGTGACTAAATGTCTGTCTCCCCTGATGCTCTTCCTGATGTATTGTTGTATAACTTAGTGACTAAATGTCTAATGTCTTTCCTGATGCTCTTCCTGATGTATTGTTGTATAACTTAGTGACTAAATGTCTAACGTCTTTCCTGATGCTCTTCCTGATGTTTTGTTGTATAACTTAGTGACTAAATGTCTAATGTCTTTCCTGATGCTCTTCCTGATGTATTGTTGTATAACTTAGTGACTAAATGTCTAACGTCTTTCCTGATGCTCTTCCTGATGTGTTGTTGTATAACTTAGTGACTAAATGTCTAATGTCTTTCCTGATGCTCTTCCTGATGTATTGTTGTATAACTTAGTGACTAAATGTCTAATGTCTTTCCTGATGCTCTTCCTGATGTATTGTTGTATAACTTAGTGACTAAATGTCTAACGTCTTTCCTGATGCTCTTCCTGATGTGTTGTTGTATAACTTGGTGACTAAATGTCTAATGTCTTTCCTGATGCTCTTCCTGATGTGTTGTTGTATAACTTGGTGACTAAATGTCTAATGTCTTTCCTGATGTTTTGTTGTATAACTTAGTGACTAAATGTCTAATGTCTTTCCTGATGCTCTTCCTGATGTGTTGTTGTATAACTTGGTGACTAACTGGTCAATGTTACATCTGTCCCAAGGTGGCCTTGAGGAATTCATTGATCAAGAGAAGCAAGAACGAACGCAGGTAGCTGTCTGCTGCCAGGATTGTTACTGCTGTCAGTGAACTTGTACATTTGTGTGTCTGCTGGCACATTTGTGTGTCTGTTGGCACATTTGTGTGTCTGTTGGCACATTTGTGTGTCTGTTGGCACATTTGTGTGTCTGTTGGCACATTTGTGTGTCTGTTGGCACATTTGTGTGTCTGTTGGCACATTTGTGTGTCTGTTGGCACATTTGTGTGTCTGCTGGCACATTTGAGTGTCTGTCAGCACCTGACTGGCTGGCTGCAGGATATGTGAGTGGATGTCAGAACAGACTCCAACTGTTGCTGTGTAAACTGTAATAATGACGCTTACAAAACATTACTATCAAATTTTGAAAATGCATCCCTCAAACAAACGGCTTTGCTGGAGTGGGCGTGTCACCAATATGGCGGCTGATGGGACCATGATTAGTCTTTTGTAATCATCCGACACCGAAGAGGTGATTCACTCGTCCTGATTACAGGGCAGCTCTTGGAGTTGTCTTGACGAGAGGGCAGCTCTGGGATTTGTTGTCTTGACTACAGGGCAGCTCTGGGAGTTGTTATCTTGACTACAGGGCAGCTCTGGGAGTTGTTGTCTTGACTACAGGGCAGCTCTGGGAGTTTTGTCTTGACCTCAAAGCAGCCCTAGGAGTTTTTATATTGACTACAGGGCAGCTCTGGGAGTTGTTGTCTTGACCTCAAATCAGCTCTGGGAGTTGTTGTCTTGACTACAGGGCAGCTCTGGGATTTGTTGTCTTGACTACAGGGCAGCTCTGAGAGTTTTTGTCTTGACCTCAAAGCAGCTCTGGGAGTTTTTGTCTTGACCTCAAATCAGCTCTGAGTGTTGTTGTCTTGACTACAGGGCAGCTCTGGGAGTTTTTGTCTTGACCTAAAATCAGCTCTGGGAGTTGTTGTCTTGACTACAGGGCAGCTCTGGGATTTGTTGTCTTGACTACAGGGCAGCTCTGAGAGTTTTTGTCTTGACCTCAAATCAGCTCTGGGAGTTTTTGTCTTGACCTCAAATCAGCTCTGGGAGTTTTTGTCTTGACCTCAAATCAGCTCTGGGAGTTTTTGTCTTGACCTCAAATCAGCTCTGGGAGTTGTTGTCTTGACTACAGGGCAGCTCTGGGAGTTTTTGTCTTGACCTCAAATCAGCTCTGGGAGTCTTTGTCTTGACTACAGGGCAGCTCTGGGAGTTTTTGTCTTGACTACAGGGCAACTCTGAGAGTTTTTGTCTTGACCTCAAATCAGCTCTGGGAGTTTTTGTCTTGACCTCAAATCAGCTCTGGGAGTTGTTGTCTTGACTACAGGGCAGCTCTGGGAGTTTTTGTCTTGACCTCAAATCAGCTCTGGGAGTCTTTGTCTTGACTACAGGGCAGCTCTGAGAGTTTTTGTCTTGACTACAGGGCAACTCTGAGAGTTTTTGTCTTGACTACAGGGCAGCTCTGAGAGTTTTTGAATCGACTACAGGGCAGCTCTGGGAGTTGTTGTCCCCCCTGGCAGCTCTGAGAGTTGTTGTCCCCCCTGGCAGCTCTGTAGGGATTAAAGAAAAATATTGGGGAGGTGCCATATTTTGCCAGTACCCTGTAGTAAAGTTTTCCAGGACGGCCTAACACTTGTGTCCTGTACTTCATAGTGGCAGAGAGAGAGGGGAAACATTTGTGTCCTGTACTTCATTGTGGCAGAGAGAGAGGGGAAACATTTGTGTCCTGTACTTCATTGTGGCAGAGAGAGAGAAGGAACATTTGTGTCCTGTACTTCATTGTGGCAGAGAGAGAGGGGAAACATTTGTGTCCTGTACTTCATTGTGGCAGAGAGAGAGAAGAAACATTTGTGTCCTGTACTTCATTGTGGCAGAGAGAGAGGGGAAACATTTGTGTCCTGTACTTCATTGTGGCAGAGAGAGAGGGGAAACATTTGTGTCCTGTACTTCATTGTGGCAGAGAGAGAGGGGAAACATTTGTGTCCTGTACTTCATTGTGGCAGAGAGAGAGAAGAAACATTTGTGTCCTGTACTTCATAGTGGCAGAGAGAGAGAAGAAACATTTGTGTCCTGCACTTCATAGTGGCAGAGAGAGAGGGGAAACATTTGTGTCCTGTACTTCATTGTGGCAGAGAGAGAGGGGAAAGATTTGTGTCCTGTACTTCATTGTGGCAGAGAGAGAGAAGGAACATTTGTGCCCTGCACTTCATAGTGGCAGAGAGAGAGGGGAAAGATTTGTGTCCTGTACTTCATAGTGGCAGAGAGAGAGAAGAAACATTTGTGTCCTGCACTTCATAGTGGCAGAGAGAGAGGGGAAAGATTTGTGTCCTGTACTTCATTGTGGCAGAGAGAGAGAAGAAACATTTGTGTCCTGCACTTCATAGTGGCAGAGAGAGAGGGGAAACATTTGTGTCCTGTACTTCATTGTGGCAGAGAGAGAAGGAACATTTGTGCCCTGTACTTCATAGTGGCAGAGAGAGAGGGGGGAAAGATTTGTGTCCTGTACTTCATAGTGGCAGAGAGAGAGAGGGGAAAGATTTGTGTCCTGTACTTCATAGTGGCAGAGAGAGAGAAGAAACATTTGTGTCCTGTACTTCATAGTGGCAGAGAGAGAGGGGAAAGATTTGTGTCCTGTACTTCATAGTGGCAGAGAGAGAGAAGAAACATTTGTGTCCTGCACTTCATAGTGGCAGAGAGAGAGGGGAAAGATTTGTGTCCTGTACTTCATTGTGGCAGAGAGAGAGAAGAAACATTTGTGTCCTGTACTTCATAGTGGCAGAGAGAGAGAAGAAACATTTGTGTCCTGCACTTGATTGTGAACCTAATCAGGACATAGAGAGGGGAAGAGGCTGACCTCTACCAGAAGTCACACCACTCTCTGCTGGGATCAGGCGTTTGTTCTGTAAACACTGTGATGGCAACATGTGGGTTGTCTTGGGAGTGTTCCTTGTTCCGAACGTTTCTTATTCTTGGCATTTCTTCTATCATTGCTGAATAAAATTCAATAATTATCTGTTCATATTTGTCTGTAAAAGTCTGTCTGCTTGTATGTACACACAAAAGAGGATGCCTGCTTGTATATATGAACACAGGTGAGGGGGTTGGGGTGTGTATGTGAGAAATACAGCACATATGTTATTAAGGCTCTGTACGAGGGGATACCTTAGGCACCAGCAGGCTCTGTACGAGGGGATACCTCAGGCACCAGCAGGCTCTGTACGAGGGGATACCTTAGGCACCAGCAGGCTCTGTACGAGGGGATACCTTAGGCACCAGCAGGCTCTGTACGAGGGGATACCTTAGGCACCAGCAGGCTCTGTCATCATCATCAGGTGCCTTGCTGACTGGCGTGGGCGATCATGCCTCTCCACAATCTGCGATCTCCTGCATTATGTATCAGTTCATGCAACAAGACTGTCGAGCATTTTCTCTCGTTGCCTTCCTCTATCCCTCTTTCCACAGATCTTTCCAGTTGTCACAACATGTCCTATTTTCCTTCTTCTCATAACATAACGAAACTGTTGAACACCATCTCTTTGAGTGCCCAAAACTCAGTCAGACAAGAAGAACGCTACTCTCTCCGAGACCAGACAAGTGGAACACCTTGTACAGAGGAAAAGAACAGCTTGTGAAAACATGCAAATTCCACTACATGGCATTGGGCCAAAGGGCGAAAGCTCATGCGCCGCTGGATCGATAACAACAACTCATAACATGGCCGAAAAATAATGACTCTCTCCTTCTGATGTCTGTGATAAGTTGTCTTCGGCCTCCCGCCTCTTTCAAAACCTCCTGGTTGCTCTTTTTGGCTGTCCAATGTATTCTAAGCATTCTTCTGTAAAACCACATCTCCGAGGCCTCAAAAAATTGTTTGGCCTGCCTACCGATTGTCCACGATTCACAGCCATATGTTTAAACTGGATGTATTTAGCAAGCAAGAATTCTTTTTCTAACTCTCAATGACAAGGATATATTGCACAAGATGTTTTTCATTTTATAAAATAAAATATTCTGGTTTTTTTTATCTCAGTGATGCATCTTCCATCTGGTGTTATCCATGTGCCCAGATACTTAAATTTTTGTACTTGTCCTAAAATAACACTTTAATGGCTTTTATTATTTAGGAATAATTCGTTTCTTTGATACCACCATTACTTCTGTCTTCCCATTATTCAAACTGAGGCCCATTCTTCCACTTTCTAACACCACAATGTCTATCATTTCCTTTAGTTCTTTCTGAATTGTTGCTATCAAGACTGTGCCATCAGCATAATGTAAATTGTTTATGTGGATATTTTACATGTAGTTATTGTTTGTTGAATAGTGGATGTTTTACATGTAGCCATTGTTTCTTGAAAAGTGGATGTTTTACATGTAGCCATTTCTTGAATAGTGGATGTTTTACATGTAGCCATTGTTTCTTGAAAAGTGGATGTTTTACATGTAGCCATTTCTTGAATAGTGGATGTTTTACATATAGCCATTGTTTCTTGAAAAGTGGATGTTTTACATTTAGCCATTGTTTCTTGAAAAGTGGATGTTTTACATGTAGCCATTGTTTCTCGAAAAGTGGATGTTTTACATTTAGCCATTGTTTGTTGAATAGTGGATGTTTTACATGTAGCCATTGTTTGTTTCTTGAACAGTGGATGTTTTACATGTAGCCATTGTTATAATCATTGTTTGTTTCTTGAATGGTGGTTCTACATATAGCCGTTGTTTGTTGAATAGGGGATGTTTTATAGGTAGTCATTGTTTGTTTAATATTAAAAGTTTTGCCTTTAGCCATTATTTCTTGCATATTGGATGTTTTACATGTAGCCATTGTTTGTTGAATAGTGGATGTTTCACTTGTAACCATTGTTTGTTTCTTGAATGTTAGGTGTTTTACATTTAGCCATTGCCCAGTAGTGCATGTTTTAATAAAGCCATTGTCCTGCAGTGGATGTTTTACATTTAGCTGGTGCTTGGTAGTGGATGTTTTACATGTAACCAATGTCCAGTTGTGCATGTTTTACATT